AAATGTTAACGATGTTAATAACGTTGATCATTCGTCAATCTTTTGTGATGCAGTAGGATTGACTTCATATGGTATCACCGGGTTATCAGGTTGTTGGATGTCGGCAGTTTCAAAAAATATCAATAAACATGTAATAACCAATCATGACACTATTTACTATTCAGTTTTCTTTTTTCTTCCATTTTATTTCTCTTGCTTGACAAGTGCAAATTTGACCATAATTATTTAAATAGGACATGCTTTCAAACGAAATTCCATTTTTTGTAAAGAAAATTTTAATAGTTATATGAAAAATCTAATATATATTAGTAAAATATTATTTATATTATTATGTATATATAAAACATGTGTTACACTAATAATATATATAATGTGTTATTGATACCTGACAACCTGACAATCTGACAAATACCTGGCACCAAATTTGCTGAATGTCCCACATATTTTGAATTTTGCTATAATTTTTTTATATTTTTAGCGAAGTGTAAGATTTTTTTGCGTGATATGCTGAATGATTATATAAACAATCGATATGATCAGTTGTTTAGAGAAATTCATTTAATTTAATTTTCTTTTTATTCCTCTTTCTCTCCTTTTTTCTTCCTCTTTTTTTCTTTTTTTTTTGTAATAATAGCTTCTTAGATTCTGAATTTCCTTAGAGACGTATCTTTTGGTAAGTTTTAAGTAAGTGAAGTTCTCCATTAAAAAAAATGTTACCAATGTTCTTTTCCTTTCTTTTCTTTTATAGGAATAGCTAGAAACCCTTGGATTTTAGAATTAGATTATTTCTTGAAGGTAAGTTTTGAATAGGATGGATCTTCTTTGAAAAAGAAAATTACTAACATTTTTTATTTCTTTTTTATAAAAATAACTTTTAAGAATCTTTAGATCATAGAATTTCTCTTGGATCAGTTCTGAGTTAGTTCATGAAAAGTAAGTTTTGGATGTAATAAATTCTTCTTTAAGAAAGAACATTACTAACATTCTTTTTTTATTTCTTTTTTGTTATAAAAATCTTTAGATCATAGAATTGCTTTTAGATTGTCTCTAAATTAGCTTTTAAAAGATAGCTTTTAGATGTAATAGAATTTTTCTTTGAGAAAAAACGTTACTAATATTCATTATTATTTCTTTTCTATAGGAATAGCTTCTAAGAACCTTTAGATCATAAAATTTTTTCTAGATCAACTCTGATTAGCTTTTAGAAAATAATTTTTAGATGTAGTAGATTTCTTCTTTAAGAATATTATTAATATTTTTTTTCTTTCTTTTTTATAATAATGACTTTTAAGGATCATAAAATTTCTTTTGTAATAACTTTGACTTGTTTATTTTATAAAGTATACAATTTATATATAATTAAATAATAGCAATAGTATTTCAGTTGGTAATAAATATCTCATATATTTTATTTAATAATAGACTAGTTAACAATATATTTTCATTACAATATTATTTAATATATTAAACTATTTAAATAAATTAAATAAATTAACAAATATAAAATTATAATAATTGCCAAAATTTTTATTTATTCATTATTATTATATTTTATTATAACTACTTTACTAATTTACTAAATTTTTATTTATCTAATTCTTCACATATAAATAAACTCTTAATGTTTCTGATAATAAATAATTTTGATTTTTTGTAATCACATTTTTTGCAATTAAAAATGCTTACTCAGACATTACACTTGTAGCTTATATTATTAGATACTTTTAAGCCATATTACTCAAAATTAGAAATTTATTTAAATGAGCTTATCACTATAAAAGAAGTTCAGTTTCTTTATCAATTAGTAGTTTAAGATAATGATTTATTTCTGTTTTTGTCTCTAATACTGGAGTAAAAATTTAATTTATAGGTACTATATTTTGTTCAAGTCATATAAAATATTAGTGATTCTTTTTTAATATGGATATATAAAACTAAATTTGTAAATAAGTAAGATTGTTCTTTATAGAGTTCAAATATAAATTGAATTTTAGCATAAACACTTAGTTTTGATTCTTCTGAAAAAATAGAAAGTTGACCTTGGGTATCTAAAATTGCTAAGATTGTTGAAAAATTATCTATAATTAACCAATATTTTTTAATTTTACTAAATATTAAATCTGCTACTTCATATGATGTAAAATTATTATCATTTATATATTTTTCTAAATGTGTTTAAATTATTGTAAATACAAGATAAGTATCACCTATCATTAGATAAGATAATACTAATAAATATCTAGTTTTTCTTTCTAAAGATTCAAGAAGTAACAACATACCTTATTGAAAAATAATTCATTAGAATAAAAATCTATAAATATATAAAAATATTATTTTTTTAATTTAATTTATCTTAATTAAATCCCAATCATCATTATTAGAATAAAGGTTATTAATAAAAGGATTGTTAGCTACAAGTAAGATTAAAATTGATTCAAGTTCTTTAAATCTTTTTAATATATAATATATCAAGTTATAACGTATATTTACATCTAAAATTGATTTAAAATATTTAATTTTTTTTAAACTACAAAATTACAAAGTGAATTAATTATAAAGACGTGTAGAATTTTTAATATTATGCATTATTTGATGTACTTTTGTAATAGAATTACTGACTATTTTTAATCATTTTTTACTTCTAAATGTAATACATGCGCTGCACAATGATAATATGAGAAATTCATTGAAGAAAATTCATTATCAAAAGCTAAGAAAATTTCTTTTATACAAACTATCATTGCAAAATTATTGTCAGTTATAAGTGCAATAATTTTTCTAGGAATATTAAATTCTTCTAAGACACGTATAATTTCTTGTGCAATATTCACTCCAGAATGTTTAATGGTAAATGAAACTATATCAAGTAAAAAATTACAAAGATTCCAATTAAAATTAACATAGTGAAGTGTAAGTTCTAAAAAAGCTTCCCAATTTATTGTAGAAGTTCAAATATCAGCTATTAATGAGAATTTTCCTACAATTTGATGAAGTTTGTTGGTAATATTATTCCTTTACATAGTAAAAGTATTAATTATCAAACATATTTAAACAAAAGAAAGTTAGATGAAATTATAATATAATAAAAAATTATGAAATTATGTTTATTTTTAATGATACAATTTAGCATTTTTGTGATATATTTTTTAGTTTACATATTTTTAGTGATATATTTTTAGTTACTTTTATATGATCATAAAATTTATTACACTTTAAATATATCAACAATTCTTATTTTCTAATAAGTAAATACAAGTAAATATTTACAGATTTGATTAAAATATTATATTTTGAAATAAATAATACATTTGCATTAAAATATTGAAATTTAATAAATTTGCAATAATTATACTTTGAAAATCAACGGTCGTATTTAATTAATTTAAATGGTATTTAAACTATAAATAATATACTATTTAATATTTTTAATTTATTTAATTATTGTCACTGTTAAAACTAGACCAAAGTGTTATATAAATTTGACAATTTTATTATTTTTCTTCGTTCTCCATATTTTAATTTTCTTTATTCGACATTTCTATCTTTTGCGAATCGTGATACAATATTTTGTTTTCTATTAATTAACGTTAAGGATCGTATAATTTACTATCGATTTTTAATAGCAAAACACGATGTATATTAATCTTGATCACAAAACTTTTCGAAGGTTCAATAAAAATATTCTATTATAAGTGGTCATTCTTTTTTATTTTTTAAAAAAAAAAAAAGATTGTTTACAAGCTTAAAAAATGAGAAAATTTTTATAATGCAGATGTTGGTATCGATACGTACTTAGAATAAAACAAAATCATTCAAAAGTTTAATAAAGTATATAAATTGTCAAAACTAACTTAGACGTTGAAATGTTTCTATCGATTCTTCCTTGCAAAAAGTGTTGTCATCTATTAACTCCGCACAACTTCACCGGTTTACTTCGACGACCAATGGTTTATTATATGTAAAAAGAACTTAAAATTTATTACTATATTTTTATATCCAAAAGGTATATAAGCGCCGAATTTTGATTGAATCAAATCGAGTTTATAAAATAAATCATAAATTCTTACGAACGATTTGGGCGCGTTTGAAAAGAATGATGCGAACAAAGTTTTTACATATATAAATAAAATACTATATAGGGAAATTCAAACCATGTATAGATATTGAAACGGAATTAAAAATTTTTTAACAGTCAGTCACATTTAATTGCAAAAATCGTGTTTTTCTGACGAATAAATCATTGTAATGAATATATAGATTCGTCAGTCATAGAATTAATAGATGAAAAAATGTACATTATACCGGGGGATATCAGTAACCACCCCTTTGTATCGCATCGGATCACACCCCTCTAGTTTCTGTTTCAGGGGACAGTTGAATCTTATTTGTCACACAAATATATTTGTCACGGTTAAGAGTTAGGGTTAGGTTTTAACATATTATTAAGGGAGGATACTGGTATCCCCCGGTATGAAATAAAAATATTCTTAATAGATAATGTACAATTAATAATTTGGGATTATAAAGATTACAAGAATTAGACAATTATTAAGGTATATACTAGTTAAAAGGAAAATTAAAAATATTTCAAGTTGAATAACAATTACAGTCGCAAACAACAATCAGTCAGTTAAGAAGGATAAATTAAAACGGTTCACAAGAATACTTCAGATATACCATAGAAACTTATAAAACAATTCTGATTCTAAATATAATTTCCATCAAGAATTTACAAGTTACTTATAATCATCGTTATTCCAACCGCGAATGCCAAATAAATATTACATAGAAAAGTAATTCTTGACGAAGAATTGATGTCCGACGTATCGGCTGAAAAGACAGGCGGAGATGGATTATACGGTTTAGGGTTCTCCCTTGTAGCATATCTAAAAAGAGCATATGAAAATTCAGTCATACTAAAGTGTGATGATTATGATTAATTGAAATAATTTACTATACCCTAAGCTTTCTAGAATTAGTCTGAGTTTATAACCTATAGCACCTCCGGCAAAGTTTCCACCTATTCTAATGGAATCATTGAGGGTTCGACCTGATTCTTGTAGGTACGTCATCAAGAATTCACTGGTATTAGTATACATCGCAATATCAACATGAGAAATACTGGAACCTGATGAAAATAAAAATTTGATGTAAGCATTATCATTATTTCAACCATCACGATCTCATCATCATGTGTATTTGCTGTACCTCGTTCAAAAGGATTTAGAGAAGTTTCTAAATATGTCATATCTTCTTCTTTATCACTAACGCTTGGTTTGAAAGCCAGAGATTTAGGTGTGACGAAATAACTAAATATTTCCTTGCCAACTAAATATTGCGGTGAAGCGATAAATTTATCTGAAAAGTCATCAACATTTTTAAAAGTTGATCCGTTAGCAAATTTATTCAGTTCGTTCGCATAAAATGTTGTTGTTTTATTATCTGGTAATAAGATTAAATATTTGTCCAAAGCCCTCTCTTGAAATCCTCGAAAAACTATCGTAGCGTTCAAATCGGTGATACCAGGTTCTGTTGTTAAACCAATGATTTCGGGTGTAGCAGCTTGAGGGAAATTATCAGACCATGCCGAATTAAATCCAAGTCCATGCATCAATTCATGTAATATTAATTCCAAGAACCCGATTTGTTTATTGGTGATCGGAGGATCACCTTCAAACCAAAATGGGACCAATGAATTAAAGTCGGCAACAATATCAACAGGAGCAAATTCAGGGTGTGAACCAAGTTGAAATTGTTTTACTAAAGCTTGAGGATATAACCTTTCAATTCCATCATCATCTTTCATTGGTATTGATCTTAAAGGTCCTGCGGCTCCTAATATTCCTGGATCTTCCATATCTTGAAACGTTGCATTGATTATAATTGGTGTATTTAATATTAAAGTCGATGTTATTATACGACCTGCTTCTTCGAAAGAGGATTTTGCTTTTTCACATAATGCTTTATCTTGAATTTCACAAAAGAATTGAAGATCAAACATATTCGTTTCATTTGATACATGGAATTTTAAATTTTTCTTCGGCTGCTTCACCATTGAGCATGCTACTGCCATTTTATTTCTTGGTTTAATGGGTGATGGTTGATCAATGCATTGTGCTGAGGTCGATGAAATCGAGAATAGTGTGAGAGAAAAGAACAAGCAAGTTGAAACTAATGAGAATGGTTTCATGGCGTCAAAAAAAAAAACAAATGTTTTAGTTTAAGTTTATGTTGATTGTATTAAATATAAAAGTATTAAGTTATATAGTTCCTGAATTTTTTTTTTTTTAACAAAACTTAGCGACGGATTTTTCCATTATCGAAGTACGATTTTTATTCTATTTCATAAAAATATATATATATTTAAAAAAAAAAAAAAAAAAAAAATAGTACATTTTTAGTAGTTGTAATTATTGTTATCAAGCCATGCTGGCACAAACGTTACATAATCAGAGAAAATAAATTCATAAAACTTTTGTTTTCCAAACTTATTTAAATTCATTACGGTAGTGCGACATTTTGGTAAATTTGAAGATTCCAAAATATTAATTTAATTGTTCGAAATATCCAGGATGACCTAATGACAAATATACTTCATTTCATTCGACCGCATGCTAGACCCATCATTCTATTTTAGGGTAATAAATGAATGAAAATCAAAATCTTAAAGATCGTATTCTCTTCCGAAATAAGAAATATGTGAAATGAATCTCGATCAATGGCCTATTATTATTTCATTAAAAATGTACATATTTGTAGATTTCCGGTTATTTTTAAAATTCCCCCAAACCATTTTAAACTTTATGTTGTAAAAAAAAAAACTTCAAAAAAAGGGTAATAAGTAATATAAATAATGCATGCATGTAATGCATAACGTACCACCTGAAAAATAGTGTCTCGGCGCACAATGATTTGTCGATCATATTAAATTGATTTGAAAAAAAAATTTTATTTCATAGTATGATGACTTTCATTCGTAAAGAAAATGTTGATGTTACATTAACTAGAGTATTGCATTAATAGATGCAAACTTTCAACGGATGCATAAAAACATCATGAATTCAAACTACGAACAATTCTTACTAAAGAATCCCCTATGAAAGAAATATCAGAGGTTGTACGAAAATTATTTGAGCTCCATGAAACCTATAAATTTGCTTTACGCCGAGGAATAAAAAAAACTTGTGAATACTGCCGACAAGAATGATTTGCGATAACATATTGTGAGTTTTGCGTTCGAATTTATTTAAAAACGAAATTTTCAAACTGGTCGTCTGGAAATGATGAAATTGATCATTTAATAAAAATGTCAGTTGAAAGTGATAATTCCATTTAGAATACTTGAATGGATTCCATACAGTAACTTACAAATATTAAATTTCTTACCAAAGGTGGATTCTCTGAAATTTTTGTAGCAGATTGGATCGGAGGATTTTATTATGATTGGGATTGTAGCAATCAACAATTACAAAGGATCGGAACGCAACGAGTAATACTTAAAAGATTAGTAAATGTCGAAAGTGCTAATAGAAGTTGGTTTGAGGAGGTATGTATTTAAAAGTAATTACCATAAATTCTATCAATTTGTTTTTTAACAATATTTTTTTATTTAAATTCTAAAAAAATTTTATCTCAATATTCAATTTTTTTTATTTATTTATAGGCTAAATATCAATTAACCTTCAGCTGTAAATGCTCAGAAATTGTTATACTGCAAGTTTTGGTTTTTCAAGTAAAGATTATTCTCTTGTAATGCTTTTAATGGATATAAATTTAAGAAATTATTTGACGAAATCATAAGCAATTCATATGGAAAGAAAGAATTTATATCATTCATAATATAATTAGTGCAATCCTTAAAGTTCATGATGATTATATGATTCATCGAGATTTACATTCTGGAAATTCGAAAGATACTAAAATTTGGTACGTGTATCTATTGTTTCGGTATTCTCATGTGGGAGATTTCATCGGGACAATCACCATTTGCTAATTTTGACCATAATTATGATCTTGCAATGAAAATAATAAATGGTTTAAGACCTAAACTAATGCCTGATGCTCCATTAAAATATAAGAAATTATGGAACAATATTGGGATGCTAATCTATTAAAAAGACCAAATATTTATACACTTGCTCAAGAAATTTTAGAATTGAAAAAGTTATATTGCCAAAATGAAATTAACGAACGCCAATGGTAATGCATTATTAAACGCAAATTTTGATACAGATTCTAATTCGATTAACTTGATAACTAGTAATTTTAGCAAAATTCATATTTTAAAAATTTACCCGTACCAAGAAACGGTAAGGTAACCATAAAATATACATTGTATTGATAATTAAAATAATTTTAATTTAATTTGTTTTATTTTTTAGAAGAACAGGACGGTAAAGATTTTAAAATGTTATTAAACCTCAATTTATTCTATATTTATTTTGTTACTTTTCAAAAAAAAGTTATGATAGTAAACAAAATAATCTTAATATTCCAAATTGTAATAAAATATATTTTAATAATTATAAATTAATTAATTTAATATTTAAATATTAAAGTCATATTCAAAGACCCAACTAGGCGGCGGCGGAATGAGCTAACTGGTATGTATTATTATTATTATGTTATTTGCTTTATAGTTTATAAGTTAAACTTTACAAATAAATCTTATAGATGCAAAACATGAACTAAAAGATACTTTTTAAACAAAAAGAATAAATAAACTTTAAATATTAATCTTGATTTCTTGAAAATAATTTATAAATTAAAAATTTGCACGTATTTATTATCTCGAACAGAAAATAATGATTTAAAACATAATAATAACAGTTATTTAATATTTTTATAGATATTCATATATATATTCAATATAAAGATAACAATCTATGCATATAAAAAAATTATGTTGCGTGTTTTGACGGTAAGAAATAAATCAATAGCGTTGAATAATTTATTTTTTACTGCTAAATGATGAGATGTATAATAATCCAAACCTTCATACGGAGGATCAGGATGAATTAGAAATTTTATAACAAATTATATTTAGCTTGTGTTGCCTGTTTAATAACTTTATAAATAAATACTTTATTTAACGAAAGTAATATTTTACTATTAAATTAAAATTTTTATAATTTGACCTTTGGCCTTTTATCAAAAAAATAAAAGATTACGATTTTCTGTAATTCTTTCGAACCGTAGGTTCAAGCATAAAACTTACCCAATAAACTGTATCGTGGCAAATTATCGACAATTTATATCAAAGCAAATGATTAATTGAATATTTTATTTGTAATGAAACTGAGATTCTGTTCACAATGTTTTGTTTATTTTGTACTAATTGCTGCTTTTTAGGTGACGCTTTTATTATAGAATATAATATTGCTACGCCTAAATTTATCCTTCATTCACATTCTCACATTCATCTCGCGGTAAGTCTTTACCTTCATTGTAATGGAATAATTTTTTTTTACCCAAAATATATTGTCTTTATAAAAATTGCAGAATAATCTATACCGTATATATTTAGCTAACTGGTCGCAACTTATTTCCAGCACAATTTACCATAACTGTATACGCAGCTTTTTTCTACGTCTTCATGTTCTGGAGCTGGAGCTTTTTCTGCAGTTTCTTCTATACCATGCTCTAAAACACTATCTCTTCATTACTTTCATCATATTGACGTAACTTTGGTATTTCATGTATAAAAACATTAAAACAATTAAGGGATGTGAGTTCATTTATAAAGGGCTGAGTTTACAAAACACAGCATTCACAAATTTCCACAGGTAAAAAACCATGCATTTCACAATATGCATTTAATTACACCTTTTTACATAATGAAATGAAACGTCCTTCGATAATTTTATAGCTTTCTTCGGAAAATGAAAAAATTTATTGTTAAAGAGTGGGTGAGATTATTTCAGACTCTATTACCTTGCTAAATTTCCCGCGGTGACAGATGAGTTATCAGTTACGTTATGATAAAACTTCAGAGTCATTCATCCAATTGGGCTATTATTTTCAAAAGGTAGGTCCAAGCTCTTTTCTAGAATCTTGTTTTTCGGCCTCAAATAAACGGATATACATTTAGGCACTGAAGCGTTTATACGAACACATAGGCTCGATTTACAGGCAACTGGACCGGAATTTATTAGCTCTGCGATGAACTTTTGGTACCATCTAGCTTATACGCTTTCTGATTCTGAAAAAGATTAAATATCTACAGTGAATGGGTCGGGTACTATTGTATCCAAACATTAAAACGGAAAGATACTCACAATGACGGACTACTTTATATAAAACGCTCTTTCGACAACGGGTTTAATGGTGAAATTTGGTATGACTTAGCATAGCAATAAAGTTGACTTCGATTATAAGAATATTTAATATCATTTCTTAAATAGCAACGTACGCTATTTCAATTGGCGTTTATGTGCCGAAGTAATGAAGGATGACTTTTTATATGATATTTTAGAATTTTCGCTTCATGAACATTGAAAGCATTTCACTCTTGAAAATTATTCTTTAATTAATTGATTTTAGGATAGATAAACGAATTATCGTATATGGCTAAAGGTCGGGGTTGCTCGCCAAATTCGAAGCATCAAGAGGGTATGTCTGAGATAAACGTAATCATGTTGCGTATTAATTTGTTAATCTGGCATGGTAGAAATGGTGACGATGGATTTCGATGGGTCTCGAAAGTTTCGACAGTTCGGTAACAACTTTGCGAATTTGACAGTTTATTGTATCACAATGTAGAACATAAAAACGAGTTATTTCTTTTTTACTTTTTATTTTCAATTAGAACAAAGTTTCCAAAATTATACATTATTTATCGAACAGGTTTTAAATTTGGAAGCACTGTTACTTGTTGAAGAATTAGAAAAAATTACCTTATGAAGAAGATGATGATAGAGGCTAGAACCGGATTTGTTTTGTTTTTATATCTGGATTTATTTAAAATCGGATCTGGATTTAATCCGAATATCGAGTCTGGTTCCAACCTCTAGATTATTATTTTTCAAATGAAAGATTAATGGATGAAGAAGAGATAAGAATCATGAGTTTAAATGAAGAAATATGGGAGATAAATGATGTAATTGGACTTAATTATCAATGTGTAAATTTTTTGATTTTTTTTTTTTTTTATCATTTGTAAAAATATAAATATATGATATTATAAAAGAAAGTGGTCTTTGCTATATACGATTTGATCATCTTGTTAAACAAAAATAATAAATTTTTAAATCCAAAAATTGTATTTTAATATCGAAGGGTTTTGCCACCCGTCGAAACTTTCGCAAATTTCCTTTAATAATTATTAGGCAAAACGTTTCGACGGGTTTCGATTTTGATGCCTGTCGAAACCTTCGGGTTTTGCCCTGCAACCTTAATCATGACACTAAAATTTAGTTAAATCGAAATTGTAATTAGTCATATTGTCCAATTTTGAAATTCATCTATCGACTTTTGCCAAATAGATTAAGGTTTTGTCCTGCAACTTTAGTGTCTTTAAAGATCACTGTATCATTAAGTATTTGATTTTTGTTAAATAATTCCGCTGAAAGGCAAATATTGATACAAATAAATCATTTACAGCTTATAAATTTAAAGTGACAATTTATTAATTGTAAATTATCCATAAGATTTTCTTATTGATATACTTTCTTTTAATATTAAACAAAGGAGTTGAATGCAAAGCTTATAAAAGACTGTATATATATTAACACAATTGCTATACTATTAAGGTTTATCTTCTTCTCTCTTTCAGATTAAACCCTGAATTTTTTTCGCAATATAAAACTTTCTTACCCTTTCTCACTTCCCAATATAGGCATTTGTGTGCATCGTGAGTTAAATCTATTTGTCGACAAACTGAGTAGAATAAAGTTTTTGCATTATTGTCATTCAATGTGCATATGCGAATTAAATTGTGAAACCCTTGCTTTGTATAAAATATTGGAATATGAAAAGATGATTGCTTTATTTGTGCAAAATTTAGTATAACTAAAATTAGATTTCATAAATACACAATTTATTTTCATAGAGCTAAATATAGAACAAAAATTCAGATCACTTGGTATGAACGTAATTATGTGTGATGATTATTCATTGCAAACTTTTTTTTTTTGAAAATAAATAGATGATCTCGCAACTTTATTCTACCTTTATTCCAACTTTTCTTTACTTTTTGGTGGGTATCGTTTTTCGCAATTCTTTTTTTTAAAAATATTATTTACAAAAAAGTAAACCAAAAAAATAACTTAATTTTATTATTTCAAGGAATCTTTAAACAATGACTCGAAGAACTTGACAGGTTCACGTTCAAGGTATCACTCATGCAGTTGTCGCGCCAAGACGACGACATATTTCATCAACTTTCCTTTCTTCCATCCCCTTCAGATCCCTCTTCTTCTACCATTTTACAGCTGTATCTCCTTCTTAAATTTTTATCCTCACTCTCCTACATTTCCCGTCGCTTCACTACTTCTAATATTTCCCTGTTTCTTATACATTTTCGATTTCCTCCACTGGCACAAACTTTTCTCCCTTCCCATTTTTTTCCCCTATTCTCGTACCTTCCTCTGTTTTCCCTAATAACCTTTCTTTTCTTTCTCTTCTTACATCTTATCATTCTCCTCCTTCTTCACTTCCCCCTCTTCATTAAGTTCATCCCCTTTGTCATCCTCTTCTACTTCCTCTATTTCTTCTCTTTCTTCTAATTTTTCTACCCCTCATTTACCCTCCTTATTTTAACCATTCCTTTATTCACTATTATTTTCTTAGGTAGTCAAAGTCAATGGATCTTGATCTACCAGGCTTTTTTGTTTGAACTTCCTTTATCCCCCCTAATCAGTAGCCTGAATCAATAGATAATGATCCTCCTAGCATTTACATAGCCATTGATTATGATTTTTACCCTTTTCCTTCTGTTTTAAATTGGCAGACTCTTCTTCTTTTTGTTGTCTTAGCTAATACATTAAATTTAAAAATAAAAAAATAAAAAAATTCTCCTTTTTATAAATTTTCACATATTTTAATAAAAATTATTACAATAAAAAGTATTATATCTTTATATAAAGTTAGCTGTTTAGTCTTTTCTTTTTGTAATAAATGTATTTCTTCTTTATATTACTTATTTATTTAATTTAGAATTTATTTTTTATTTTATATAAATATTAAAAAAAATTTAATATGCTTTCTTTATATATTTTAATGATGTCTTAAGATAATTTATTATTTATACCTAAAGTTCTGAATTAGGTCAAGTTAACTATTTATTTATTCTGATCTAATCTGAAAATCCAGATCAGATTAATAGATTTTTAAATTAATGTTAAGTTATATTAATAGGTCAACTTGAACTGAACTATCCTGATAAAATTCAAATAACTAATTGTTTGATTTAAACAATTATTTATCATTTATTTTAAATAATTTCTTATTATTTTATTTGAATGATAATCATTTGATTAAATGATAATTATTCAATTTGAATAATATATTATTATTTAATTTGAACGATTTCTTATCATTCAATTTAAATAAATTTTTATCATTCATTTTGAATAATTTCTTATAATTCAATTAAAATAATTCAGTTATCATCTTTTTAAATGATTTATATCATTAAATTAGAAAAAATTTTTCTTTTCTAATCAGATCAAATTAAGTCAAATGAAAATTTAAAACAAATCAGATTTTTGTTTTATTTGATCTAATTTTCTTAGTTCAGATAACTTAATTAATCTAACTTAACTAACTTATTTAGAGCTTTATTTTTACCTATTATATTTATTTGCTTATTTTTTTTATTTTAAATGAGCTATAATATTTGATATATAGTAATTCAAATATTCTTTATCTGAATGAAGTTTGCTATCTCTACATAATATTTAAAAGAAACTGTTATAGTTGAACTATATCTGTTAAGTATAAGCATTTAATATTTTTTTAAAAATTGTAATTATTTAAAAAAAATTTATTTAAAGTATATATTTTTAATATTATACAATTCTATTAAAACTGGCAAAAATTGATAAACTTATCAAATATGACATATTTATAATTTATATTATTTCTTTTATTATTATCATTATTTTTATACTTAACATATATATAATTTATATTATTTTTATTATATTTATTATTATTATTATTTATTTCATATTTAACATAATTAGCATATCTGTTAGTTCTGTTATTATTGTTAATACCTATCATAGATTTTCTTTAATTATAATTTTCTTATATAAAGAACATGAAATTGCCTATAAAAAAGGATAGATCCCAATCTTGTATTCAATACATAATAATAAATAATATTAATATTTTGCAAATATAAAATTTATAACTTTATTCTTATTAACTAAACAAACTTTTTAACTAACAATATGTTAAGTTAATTAGATTTAAGTCATAACTATTACTTTTCTGACTTCAAATCATAGTTAACTTATTTAATAAACAGAGTAACGTTAACATTGTTAATAAATAAAAGTAATAAGAGTGTTATCACATGAGATTTGTTTATATTTAAGTTATATCAATTTAATTATCAGTTTAGATATCTTCTAATATTTACTTTTTATCTAAAGTATAATAAAAAATAATCAAATATTAAGTATATCAAATGCAATATCATTTTGTTCTATATATCAATTATCTAATAAAATTCTATATTGTTAATATTATATTATATGTATTTCTCAAATTAAATAAATAAATATTTATTATAAATATTATTTAAAATTATATTTCAAATTAGAATAATTACTATTATACAATTTTAGGTAAAAAAAAAAAAAAAATAATAAAAATATTTCAATAAAAAACATTATTGTTTAAATTAACAACAGATATTTTTTTGAAAAAAAAGTATAAAGAATAAAAAAAGAAAAATTTTTGAAAATGGAGTTTTATTTATTCGCAAATTAAGCCTAAATCACTTTTAAATATACATGATTTTTTTATAAAAATTTTTGAATAAATTCTAATTAAAAAGAGTTATATGTTAAATCATTAAATTTTGATAAATAGATAACAAAATAGCAATTTTTGAATAATTACAATATTTAAATTATAAAAATTATATGATATGGGAGTGTTTCTAGGAAAATCAGGTTCCGAGAAATTTTTGACTAAAATTAAGAGCTTAATACATTTTAATCTAATTACATCAAAAAATAAAATGCAATAAAAATCTCAATTTTGCTAAAAAATTCCTGGAACCTGATTTTCCTAGCAATCTACCCATATGATATAATTTCAATTATTTTAACTTTACTTATCTAAAGTCAAAATAATTTTAACTTTTCAACTATTCAGTTTTATATATATTTAAAATTTTTTTTTATTTAACTATTAGTAATTCCAAAGATTTTATTATATCAATTTTGTATTTTTAGTTATTTAAATCTTTTTCTAATTGAAGTAGAGTATATTTATATATTTGTAATCTTATTTAACTTTATAATCTAACTTCTGCATTTTTTTCTCTTGATTATCAATCAAAATCTTTTTTTACTTGTTTTTCTATTAAGTCTTTTTTTTCTTTAATTTCATTTTTAAGTTTACATATTTAGTTTTTGTTTTTTATTATTTTTAATATTATAATTTTTTAATTAATTATATATAGTCATCTTCCTTTATAGTCATATTACTTAAGACTAAAAATAAAAAAAATGAATATAATAAACAGTTACTATATAGAGGAAATTTTGTATATTATTATTAAATGTTAGTTTTTGAAAGGTATAACTATAAAAATATTGTGATTATAAAGGAATTTTTTTAGAATTTTGAATGAGTTGAGTTGAGTAGAGTTTAAAGGTCAATTATATTTGATTCTCTTTTTTAAGTAAAGTTAAATTAAGTTTATTTTTATAAAAATTTTCAATTTGATTTGATTTAAATTATAAATTTTAAATTTAACTTAATTTGACTTAACTCAGTTTTAACTCGACTCAATTTTAACTTGAATTTATTCAAGTCAAGTCAAATTCAAATCAAATTTCAAGTTAAATTTAAATTAACTTATAAATATTTAAATATAAATAAAATTTATTTTTAAATTATATTTATTATATTGTAAGATTATATATTATTAATTTAAATCAACATAATAAAAAATAAAATAAAATAGATTAAATTAAAATATAAAAAAAATTAAGATAAAATAAAAAAAAGGATTAGAAGGAAAAAAAGAAAAAAAATTAAAGAAAATGAAAAAAAAATAACAAAAAAAATAAAAAAAGGAGTGAAAGGAAAATAAAAAATAAAAAAAAAAGGATTAGGGAAAATAAAAAAAAATAAAAAAAAAAAAAAAAAAGGATCTAGGAGGAGAAAAAGAAAAAAATTAAAGAAAATAAAAAAAATAATAAAAAAAAAATTAAGTAAAAAAATAAAAAATAAAAAAAAATAAAAAAACGAAAAAATAAAAAGGATCAAGGGGAAGGGAGAAAAGGAAGGGGAAGGAGAGGAAAATAATATAAAAAATTAAAAAAATAATAAATTGATCAATAAATTGATCAATTTAAGATAAACCAGTTTGTTAATTTTTAAAAAATAAGATTAAATTACATAACTTTAGATAATCTATAAAATAATTAATTTATACCTTTTTTTTAGATGAATAACTATTTTTTTTTAGAATTTTAAGTTATTACAGTATCAGTTTAGTAAGGGTATTATCATATCTGCTAATCTGCAAAATGGAGAAAATTTAAAGGGTGTAGTATAAATAAAGTCACATGAAATTTGACCAATAAAAATAAGTACGTTTTATGTATTCATTTTTGAAATGAATTTTTTAAGTTTTAACATTTAATGCAAAAAGTATAGATAGTGACACAGAAAACGTAGAGTATGGTATTCAAATTCAAGAAACTTCTACATATCCTTTGAATAATAATATTTTATACTGGAAACACATAAATCAAAAAACTAAACGTAGTTTTAGTTATGTTATTATAAAAGAAGGTATTTATTCTGACAAGATTGTTACTAGGCCAAGTAATAAACAAAAAGAACAAACCAAAACTTTGTAAGATACTAGCAATATTAGAAGGAAAAGGCAAAGTAAACAGTACAAAATTCTACATGGTTATATTGTAGAAACAACTTGGAGACAGGCTGCTAGCAAACAAACAATTTGCTGTAAAATTAATTATATTGACGAAATACCTCAGTTTCATATTAGATATAGTTCAAACTTTCAGTATATTATTTCTTCAACTAAATCTTCGTCTAATGCAGCATTAATTTATGAAAGAGTAAGTATTTAAAGCTAATGCTGTAATGTTGTATTAACCATAATTGTTTAATTTATTAATGTATTTTTTTCCTTAGACTTTAAAACTAAGAACCAAAACTACACTTTTGGGTTCTCTTGTATTTGGATTACAATTAGAAAGTATGCAGAAAGCATGTGAATCGAAAAGAAGAGGAAATTTAATCAAACTAGCTAATAATTGTATTTTGTTAACACTTGAAAACACGCTAAAAAAATTGCAACAAAAATGCAATCCAGTTTTAGTAATGATATTAAAGGAATTTATCACTAATCTGATAAAGTTAAATTAAAAGCAATTGAATTTTCTGTTAATAAAACAGACTTTCAAGTAAATTTCGGATATAAAGATCAAATAAAAAAAAATTCTCAAATTCAATCTATAGTAAAAGCAGTTGATCAAAAGCAAATATCAAGAGATTTTTATCAAGAATTAGCTGCTGTAGAACACCATTTACCATGTGAAAATTCTGTTTCTAATGAACAAATTGCAATCACTAACTATATAAATAATATAATCAAAATTTCATTAGTTGATATAAAAGAAAAGAATGAATTAGAAGACATTATAAAATCTGAAGAATCAGATATTATGAATTTTGAAATAGTATAAGAAGTTGTTAATACAATTGGATTAGGCATTCATTGTAGTATAAAAGATATTTTGTATTATCTTATTTCACAACTACAAAAACAAAAAATATTAAAATTATCAGATCCAATTATTCATTTGCGTGTTTCTGGTGATGAGCAAAATGTAGGAAAAAAATCAAACATGTTATGATAACATTTATGATTTTAAATCATAAAAGTCAATAATACCATGCAGATTATTATTATACTGTAGCATTATATCTGAGAACTGAAAATTATAGTATACTTAAATTTATGTTAAATTCTTTTTATAATGAATTACGATCACTTAAAGAGTTTGGATTAAAAATATCTAAAATATTATGGAAATTTGAACTATATTTAATGCAGATTGGAAATTTTTAGCTATTTGTCTTGGATTAAATAGTGTAAATTATAAATATTTTTGTCCTTAGTATTTATGTTCTAAAGATCAAATTGGAGATTTAAATAAAAATTGGTATATTGAAAAAAATATAGAGCAAATTGTAACAAATTATAATGAAATTCGTGGTCATATTCATCCTCCTCTTTTTAATATAATTCCAATTGATCATATAATTTTTGATAAATTACATATTCTTTTACGAATTACTGATCAGCTTTGAGAATTAATACTTGCAGAAATTCAAGGATGTGATTTATTTAATGATTTAACACGAAAAATTATTATGGATGAGATGCAACATTTAAAAGTATCTTTTCATTTTTGTGAAGATGAATAATTATATATTTGGAAATATACATCTCTTATGGGAAATGATAAAGAAATTATTTTATGATTTTTTAATTTAAAATTACTTTTTAAACCATTTCGTGTACAATTAATATAAATCTTTGAGATGGATTTTATAATATATATTATTCTATTCGAGATAAAACAACAAATCCAATACAATTAAAACAACAATTACATGAATGGTTATTTTTATTTCTTACACCATCAAAAGGAAATCCTTCTTTTCCAAAAACATTTATACAAGGATTATATATGCCAAGTCAAGTAACTCCTTATATGCATGCATTGGTATATCATGAATAGGAATTATTAGAAAAACATCAAAGATAAAGTCTAAATACATTTTCTTGTTATGCTGTAAAAAAAAGAATCATAATCAAGTTTCTACTTTTTTTTGCAAAACACTTAAAAATAGTGGTAATTTATTAAAAAGAAAACCTGCGATACAAGAAATTTTAGAATATGAAAATAGAACTCTATATTTTACTTATAATACATTACCTGAATCTTTAAAAATCAAAAAAATTCATATTAAATAAATTAGAATTGTTATATCAACAATAAAATTTTAATAATTGTTAAAAAATTTAAATATTTTATTAATAAAATTTTTCTTTACATTGTTAACCTTACGCTCAGTCCATCAAACTTAAGATAACTATAACTTAATAACAGTGAGTAATGTGCGAGAAACTACTAAGTTACTGTGAAATAAATCCTATCAAAATCAACCTTAGGTTTATACTTTTAGACGAGTAAATAACTTTAACAACTTGTTAACACGATAAATACAATTGACACGTTGAAGGATTTTTAATATGTGTAGTTTAGAAAGAGATTCCTTTATTATAGAGATTTGTATCCTTAGC